GTCCGGGTTAGGTCGACAACCGTCCTTATCGATGATATGACCTAGGAAAATAAGTGATGCTGCGGCAAAAACGCACTTAGCGGGGTTCACTGACATGCCGTATTTTTGAAGTCGCTCCAAAACCGCGCCGACGTGTTGTTCGTGCTCGGACTCGTTCCGCGACGCGATGAGCACATCATCGATGTACGCGAAGGCGAAGTCGAGACCGCGCAACATATCATTGACGACGCGCTGAAACGTCTGCGCTGCGTTGCGCAGGCCGAAGCACATCACCGGGAATTCGAAGAGCCCGAACGCAGTGGTAACTGCTGTCTTCGGTATATCCCGTGAAGCGATAGGGACCTGGTGGTATGCTTTAACCAAATCCAACTTGGAAAAACATGACCGGCCTGCCAGGTGTGCCGTGAAATCATGCAGATGAGGCAACGGGTAACGGTCAGCACGTGTGACCGCGTTAAGATGCCGATAGTCGCCGCATGGTCGGCATGACCCGTCTTTTTTGGCAACTAGCAGAAGTGGGCTGGCCCAGGCGCTTGAGGACGGACGACAAATCCCCTTCGAATTCGCGGCGTGCTATCTGGTCACGTTCCGGTGGTAGTCGTCTTGGGCGGGAGAATAATGGTGGTCCGGTGGTACGTAGCTCGTGTACGACGTTGTGCTTGAACACGGTAGGCACGGGCGATTCGCGCGTGACGTCGGGAAATGCCTGCAGCAAATCGGTCCATTTGTGCGAGTGAGAAACGGCAAATGCTGTAGTACTGACGTCATTAATGGATATCGTTTGAATCACATTTTGTTCTGTAGGGTCGATAAGACGGTGATGCTTGACGTCGATAAGCAAACCGAAATAATGTAAGAAGTCGGCGCCAATGATAGGTCGAGCGACGTCTGCCATTTCGAATGTCCAAGTATATGTTCGTTTGACGCCGAAATTTAAACGTAACGTTTTGGGGCCGTACGTTTGTATTCGTGTACCGTTGGCGGCCGTCAACACTATGTCGGACGCGGGACGTGCGCCTGCGGTAGGTGGTAACACAGATATTTCGGCACCGGAATCGATCAGATATTGCTTGCCGGTTAGTGTGTCGCTGACGAACACGCGGCGTGTCGGGTGGGCGGCGGAAGGTAGTGGGGCCTCCGCCGCTTCCACTAGTTTTCCGAGCGGAAAGTACACGGGTCGCGACAATTTCGCGCTTCGGCGCCGAAATTGTTGTGGTAAAAACACCAGCTGTCATTACGCGGGCGTGATTTTGAGCGCGAACGTGATCGGTTAGATGTTGACTGCGTGGTTGGACGTGACGTTCGGAGCGATTTTGCTTGGGCTGTGGCCAGTGCGGCGATTTGCGTAGTAAGCGCCAAAATGGAATTTTCGATCGCTCTGAAACGATCCGTGTCACTGTAGGTGGAGACTGAAGTGATGTTGTGACTTGTTGTTGCGTCCATAATTCGATCGGCGCGTTCAGCGACTGAATCCAAATTGCCGTCGAGACTAATGACGACTGCGCGGATAGCGGGAGGCAGTTTCTGTAGCCAGAATTCTTTAAGGGCTTTTTCGCCGATGCCGTCGGTGGTTCCGCTTCGCATGTCACGCAGTAATTGTGATGGGCGACGGTCGCCCAAACCTCCAGGCTGTACCATTGAACGAAACCGAGCGGCGGTAGGGACGACGTACGCCGTAATAAGTCGGCTTTTTATGAGGTCGTACCTAGCATCTGGACCTAGTAGGTCTGTAACTGTACGGATTCCGTCCTCGTCCAACGTGGCGACCACGTGGTTGACGCGCGATAGGTCAGATTTGATGCGCTGGTTGTGGAAAATAGTCTCAGCGTGCACGAACCATTGCTCGGGAGCATGGCGCCAAAAACTGGGGAGCCGCATGGTAGATAGTGCCGCGACGGCGGCGTTTAAATCTACCTGTTCACCCGGTGGTGGAGGTGTCGTCAAACTTGCATTGCCGTTTTCGGTAGACAGCATGTCTATAAGGTTACCGATAGGCAGTGACATCGCTCGCGACGGAGAACGGAAACACAGAAACGCGCACTCGCGAAAACGGGCTACTAGTCACTAAGCTAGTGCAAACGGTCGGCTGCGGGCGCAAAGGGAAGAACTTAGGTCACCAATTTAGTGGTCGGTGTGATATACCACACCGACAGCACGATAGGTTGTCAATCAGAAGGTTTAATAAGAAGGATTAATAAGAATGAACACACACACAGAGATATGTTGATGAAATTTATTCTTAATAATTACGTCGCGAGTTTTACGCGACACGAGGTTCGCATTGGACGGGTAATACAAAGGTACGGATTCCGACAGCGTGCGCGTAGGTAGTCTATTGCGGAGTTGTCGAGGCGACGGGCGACGAAAAAGCGGTTTTGCTCGAAGCCGGCGGTGCTTCGAGCGGGTAGGCAACGGCTTCGGCCGATAATAAGTTTATACATGTAAGAAGGGCGAGAGTAGGAACATAATACAATATAATTCACATAAAACAAGAGTACAATCACATAAAGAGGAACATCGGTTACGGTAACAAAATAATAAAGTAATAATTGCTAATAATTGATAATAATTGATAACGAATACAAATAAGTGTAAGTGAGGGACAAGGGCACCACAATATTATAATTATACGCGATCGTCGCTATCAGAATAAATACGCGATTGTTATTTATTAAATTAAATACGCGATTGTTGTTATCAAAACGATTACGCGACCGTTATTGTCTATTAACGACAAGTCGTAGGAAGGAGCGAATCCCACTACATTCTAGTGGTCCCCGCGCCAGCAATTTTTTGCAGCTGTCCTTGATACAACCATATCGTGAAAAAATGAGCCTCGACATGCTTGCTAGCTTCGATAAAGGTTCCCAAACCCACCACTTGCCAATAATTATTACAATAATAATATCGTCTCCTCTTTGTGTCGGTGATAATTATTATATTTTCCGACAAACTGCGAACACGGCGTTTCGGTTATACAAATTCGCTACACTTTTTACTTACGTACTTTTGTTGTGAACACTGTAGTTCTTTATAAAGTTTAAAAGAAAATAAATCCTATATAGTCCATATTTCCCTCAATGCATGCCTAAATGACAATATAGGTTGTTTCATTTTGTTAAAATTTTAATATATGTACTGCCGAAGCAAGAACAAACAGCAGCATTTAAAATGTGATTCTAAGCAATCGCCTTTTGGACACCTTATAACAGTTACATATATATACGAACGTATACATAATATAGGTGTTCGTTGCCGGCTATTACCGAGCATTTGGCCGGACAACTATATATAACATAAAAAATGTGGTGTTCGCGGATTTTGGATGTGTTCATTGACAATAGCACAATATACAAATGGTGTGAACATAATAATACATATATTTTATAATAATAATACAATATAATAGTGTGATAATACCGTTTCCGACGGGCGCAAGCGCCTCGGTGGGGGCGAAGATTATCGGCAGCGTCGGTGGCTGCGACAACAACCGATACGACATCGTCGGACTTTGAACGGTGGCGGCGGCTATTAACAGCGACACTGGACGATTCCGAGTGACCGCGGATTATGCAATATTCACACTATTACGTAAACGCTGCACTGAGGGCGGCGCGGCACAAACGGCATAAAAATAGCAATTTCAACGTGGCTTGGAATCGCCAGCCGAGTTGTGAAATACGGCACGTCGGAATCTGGCGAATGCTGATTAATACAACGGACAAATAATCGTGCGTGGGTGTCGGCGAAATACACGCGACATCGGATTACAGTTGCTCGCAAGGTATCGGTGCGACGTCAACGGTGGCTCATGGCGAAACTAGAGCGCGATGTTAGTCGGATCAACAACAAAACGGACGCCTATGTCAGTGGTTTCCAAACCTTTAGGACCACAGCACCTTTAAAAAGTTGTTTGTGTTTCGCGGAATCCTAATGTCTAATCCAACTCAACATCAATTTTTCTAAATAAAAAAAGGAAAACCAATTCTCTAAACCCTCAAGTCTAATATTCATATTTTAACGAAACTGTTAATGACTTTTCAGTTTTCACTATTAAACTTAGTTTTTAAAAAAAAATTTTCAACCAATAATATTTTTTTTTAAATAACAAACATTAAAGAAACTTAATTTTCTCAATAATCACATACATCTGGCGGAACCCTCGACATTGTCCGCGGAACAAACTTTGGGAAACACTGGCCTATGCAATACCGAGGTGACAACACGGCACGGATTTTCACTACAAAACAATAAAAAAAAACCTCAAAGTTCAAGGTCGGACGAGACGCGAAGCACGGTCCGCTCAACTTGAGCACAAGACGGAGACAGATAAAGGTCGGCGGCGGCGGCTTGGCTGTGGCCAACGGTCGCGCGACGTGCTGTCTCGAGGACCGGTTGCCGCACGGTATATTGATAACGGCGGCAAGTTCCAACAATATAATATAATATAATACATAATATAGATAGAATATGACACCAAGTGCTTGTGTAACCAAGAAATAGATATGATACATTTGTATATAACAAGTATTATTATACGCTTCGTTGTAAAATCAATACATTCATTATTCATCATTCCGCTCAGGATTCTTTTATAATTAAAATGTTAATATTGATTTGATAAGTTTAGGTTATTTATAAAATTATATGTTTCCAGCAGCTTCTATTTAATTTAAAGTCGATGATATACATAATAAAAATTGTATATGCATCATTTTTTAGTAGATACGACATTTAAATCCTTTATAAAAAATACAGTAGATTTTAATCTGTAATATGTTGACCAACGCTAGGTTAGGTTGGTATATTATTAATATGTAAGTTTGTATTAAATTACATTTCTATATTTTAATGTGAACAAAAAATAAATATTAATGCTGTTATAAATCAAAATGTTTTCAATGACGAGGTACACTTGACTTCTACAGTACAACAAAGCTGTTAGTTTGTTTATATTTCGTAATTTGGTTTTGATTTTAAACTTTTGACATTTGCTAATTGTGATGGGCTCCTTTTTTGTCATTTACGGCTGTGATATTCAACGAGAAAATGTTAAAGCATTAGGTATATACTTCATTCATGTCAATTTTTCGATTAGTATACTCGTACATAGTATAATTTCGTATTTTTGGTTAAACGTGTCTCAGTTGTTTTTT